TTGGCAATATAGTGCATATTATATACAGTATATTTTGAGGTCAGTCTCCCTAATAAAACTTTTGTTTGACTTCTTAACAGATCAGAAGTTGAACTTGGTAATTCACCACCACAACGAATCAGCCGTGTTTTTGCTGTCTGTACATGGAGATGGTTTTGTTGTTGGGTTGTCTATGTGCAGACAGCGTGGACGCGGTCTTGTACGGGGCACGGTCACGTCGCTTATCCTGTCTGGCTCCCACATCCAATCTCACACAATTCCCCCCCAGCTTACAGCAGCAGCTTCCACCGCATTCCCCCCCAACCTTTCCAGCCCCTCAGACTAGCTTTTGACCCCATCCAGTTGAAGATGGATTATTTACACAAATAAATATGTTTAGAGAGCGCAAAGCAGGAAATGATTCCCTCCGCGGACTGTTTTTCTAACCTTGTAAAATAAAATAATGAGACCCAGCGTGAAACCACAAATATTTCTAGAGGCTTGTTATAGTGGGAAGGGGGGTTGTGAATAATTGAGATCCCATCTAGCAGCTGTTGCAAGTCGCACGATGGGGACATAATGTTCTATCTATTCCAACACTTTCCCAAATCGGGGGAATTTATTAGGCTTCTCTGTAGGCCGGACCTATCCAATGTCCACCAAGTGATCAAACAGTCTGGAATGGCACAATAGAGCTGAATGTGTCACCCTCGGAGTTTCCTGTCATTGCAAATACAAGAAGAATATCACTGAATTTTATTTTACTGTAGAATTACTCTTTTTGCTTCCAGCTAATGAGGGACTTCTTTTGGCTCAAGAACAGGTCCAGGTTGGGAGCTTTTGTAACCCTCAGGAGCCATTTAAAGCCTATTGTACCCCCCAAAGGTCTAAAAAAAAACAAGTTAGTCCGACTCCAATGCATTTTAATAAAATCATGAATAGTAGCAAAGCCCTGATTTTTGCTAAATTGTTTGAGGGAAACAAGAAGTCCCAATTTCCTTCATCACAACATGTTGCCAACAAGGTGAGTATAAAAGCTTCTTTTTTTTATTTCCAAGAGCTTCGCTCTGTAGTCTTTGAAAAAGGTCAACAAAAGCAGCCCCAGATTTTTGCTGCAGGTTTTTTTTTGTTAAATCTGAATAGCTGGGGGTCTCTAGGTGACTCTTGGTGTCTTGTCTCTCTCGGTGGCTTTTGGCATCTCAGTTTTGCTTGGCGTCTTGTCTCTTCAGGTTTTTCTTGGTGTCTCTCAGCATCTCTTGATGTCTTGGTGTCTCTTGGTGACTTGGTGTCCAAGTGTCTCTTGATCTCTTGGTGCCTCTTGGTGGTTTTGGTGCTGCTTGATGTCTCTCAAAGTATCTTAATTTCTTGATACCTCTATGTTTCTTTGTGTCTCAGTTTCTCCTAATGTCTTGGTTTCTCTTGGTGTCTTCGAGTTGCTTGGTGTTTCCTTGTCACTTGATGTCTGTTTCTCTAACTCTTGGTGTCTTCGAGTTGCTTGGTGTTTTTCCTTTCACTTGATGTCTCAGTTTAATGTCTTGGTGTCTCTTGGTGTCTTCGAGTTGCTTGGTGTTTCCTTGTCATTTGATGTCTTGGTATCTCGTGGTGCCTCAGTGTCTCTTGATATTCTGGTGTGTCTTGGTGTCCCTTGTTGTATTATGATGTGTTGATATCTTGTGTACCTTGATGTCTTCATATTTCAGTGTCTCTTTGTGTCTCAGTGTCTCTTGATGTTTCACTGTCTCTAGTTGTCTCACTGTCGCTCGGTGTCTCATTGTCAATTTATCTCTCAGTGTTTCTTGATGCCTCAGTTTCTTTTGATGTCTTGGTGCATCTTGGTTTCTTGAAGCCAATTGGTGTCTCCTCATTTCTTGAAATCTCATGTACCTTGATATCTCGGTGTCTCTTGATATCTCGGTGTTGCTTGGTGTCTCAGTGTATCTTGATGTTTTTGTGTCTGTTAATGTCTTGCTGTTCTCTTGATGTCCTCGTGTCACTTGGTGTCTTTCTGTGTATCCTGATTTCTCAAGATCTCAGTGTATCTTGATGCCTTAATATTACAGTGTATTTTGACATCTCAAAATCTCAGTGTCTCTTGGTGTCTCTCAGTGTAACGTGGTGTCTTTTGATGTCTTGGCATCTTGGATTCTCTTGGTACCTCAATGTCTTTTGACGTCTTGGTGTCTCAGTGCTTCTTGGTGTTTTGAAGTCCTGGTGTCTTAGTGTCACTTGGTGTCTATTGATGCCTTGGTGTTTCTTGGTGCCACTATGTCTCTTGGTGTCTTGGTGCCTCAGTGTCTCCTGATGTCTTGGTGTTTCTTGATGTCCTGTTGTCACTTGGGTTCTTTTTATGTCTTGTATCTCTCAGTGTTTCATTGTCTCCTGCTGGCTTGGTTTTTCTGAATGTTTTGGTGTCTTTTGATGTTCTGGTGTCACTTGGTTTTGCTTGATGTCTTGTGTCTCTCAGTACCTCAGTGTCTCCTGATGGCCTGGTGTCTCTTGATGTTCTGTTGCTTCTTGGTGTCTCAGTGTCACTAATTGTCTATTGATGTCTTGGTGTTTCAATGTCTCTTGGTGTCTCAATGTCTCTTGGTGCCACTATGTCTCTTGGTGTCTTGGTGCCTCAGTGTCTCCTGATGTCTTGGTGTTTCTTGATGTCCTGTTGTCACTTGGGTTATTTTTATGTCTTGTGTCTCTCAGTGCCTCATTGTCTCCTGCTGGCTTGGTGTTTTCTTAATGTTCTGGTGTCACTTGGTTTCTCTTGATATCTTGTGTGTCCCAGCGCCTCAGTGTCTCCTGATGGCTTGGTGTCTCTTGATGTTCTGGTGTCTCTTGGTGTCTCAGTGTCACTAAGTGTTTATTGATGTCTTGGTGTCTCAATGTCTCTTGGTGCCACTATGTCTCTTGGTGTCACTTGGGTTCTTTTTATGTATTGTATCTCTCAGCGCCTCATTGTCTCCTGCTGGCTTGGTGTTTCTTAATGTTCTGTTGTCTCTTGATGTTATGGTGTCACTTGGTTTCTCTTGATGTCCTGTGTCTCTCAGTGCCTCAGTGTCTCCTGTTGTATTGGTGTCTCATGATGTTCTGGAGCTTCTTGGTGTCTCTGTGTCTCTCAGTATCTCAGTGTTTTGGTATTCAGCCCTGCGAATGGCACCACTGCTGTTAATTCCATTCTATGGGCATTACAGGCTACATTCACCACAGAACATCTGTCGGCATAACTAATACCTAGACAGAAAGATGAGCCTGTGTGTAATAATTCAGGTTCTAGTGTCCTCATAGTCCGTTAAAAGTCCAAATACTCCTTGGTAGCAGAGACGCCATTGGTTCCATCCTTGTTGAAGTCCAATGTGCCATTAGAAGCATCATAGGAGAAGAATGATATGGGGTGATAAGGGAGTCTTTTTAGACCCTGTCAGGTTACGTTGTTATTTCCAGGAGGAACACAATAAAATACTTGACTTGCTTTATTAGAACTATAGGACCAAATCACAGCAATGATTAGGCTGGCTTCAGACTACTGTGAAATAAAACGTTAACACACAGTACTTTGTATGGTGCTGTCAGAGAAGACAGAGAATGCCCAGGCGCACATTTATGCACCAATGCCAATTAGCCAACAGCCGTGCCCGCGCCGGCATGCCCACCTGCCACCAGACTGGTGCCAGATGGGCTATTTAAACTGCTACTGCACTAGGAGTCCTTGCCTTCTGGTCTACCACGTTCCGTTATCTGCTATCTGTTGTATCCTGATCCTGTTGCTGACCTGACCTGTTTTGACCTCGCTTGCTCCGACCTAGCTTACCCTTGGACTACACCTTTGCCTGTTCCCCTGCCATCTGCCTATGGTTGCTGACTTCTGGCCTGAACTTCTACTATCCACTTGCCTGCTACCTGTACCTGATCCACCTGATAGATCCCGACCTGGCTTGTCTGACTCTGCTACTTCTCCAGCCTGTGACTACCACTTGCTACTAACTGTCTGCAGTTGCCGAGTTCCTGCTAGAACCTACCAGCCGCTGCTACTGCTGACCTGCATCTTGGTCATCCGGACTACCCACTACTGGCTCCCGTGCCTTCTTCTATCAGGGGCACCGAGCAGGAGGTGTAAGAGGACGCCTTCATCTCCACGTCAGGCTCCTCCACCAGGTACGTGACAGGTGCCATTCATCTAGAAGGGCTCCCAATGCACGCCTACAATGAGGTATCTGCGCTGTAGCGCTCCACAATGCACATGCCATGATTTGAGATGAAATATGCAGGTCTGTTTTTTTTGTCCATTGCCGTTCATTGTCAGAACATTCAAAATGGAAAGGCCACTATGGAGCAGAAAGATGTGAAAGGACCTGAGGCACTGGGCTATTCCTTTACTACCAAAGTGGGCGTGTCCACAGTTCCCATTATGGTCACACAGAGGGGGTTCACCCTCTCTAACAATCAATGATGTCATCTGTATGCCCCACCCCCACATTATAGGAGGATGGAAATGGAAATTCCTTCATCCAGACCTGCAGCCTGTTCCAACTCCTGGCTCCCACCCTCTGCCTGCCTGGTTCTAAAAGATATGGGGTCTCTCTGATGGGGGCACCTGATGTAAGGGGGCACTCTGATGGGGACACCTGATGTAAAGGAGAACTCTGGTGGGGATACTTGATGTAAGGGAGAACTCTGGTGGGGATACTTGATGTAAAGGGGCACTCTGATGGGGACACCTGATGGAAAGGGGCCCTCTGATGGGAACACCTTATGCAAGGATGGACTCTGAACAGGATACCTGATATAAGGGGGTACTCTGTTGGGTGCACTTGATGTAAGGGAGATACTCTGATAGGGGCACCTGATGTAAGGGGGCAATCCAATGGAAACACCTGATATAAAGGGGTATTGTGATGGGGACAACTGATGTAGGGCAGGACTCTGCTGAGGATACCTGATGTCAGGGGTTACTCTGTTGGGGGCACCTGATGTAAGGAGGCAATCTGATGGAGACACCTGATGTAAGTGGGCACTGTGATGGGGACATCTGATGTAAGGGGGCACTGTGATGGGGGCACCTGATGTAAGGGGGAACTGTGATGGGGACACCTGATGTAAGGGGGCACTGTGATGGGGGCACTGTGAAGGGGACACCTGATGTAAGGGGGCACCTGATGTAAGTGGGAACTGTGATGGGGATACCTGATGTAAGGGGGCACTGTGATGGGGACACCTGATGTAAGGGGTACTCTCTTAGGGTCACCTGATGTATGGAGGTAATCTGATGGAAACACCTGATGCAAAGGGGCACTGTGAAGGGGACACCTGATGTAAGGGGGCACTGTGAAAGGGACACCTGATGTAAGGGGGCACTGTGAAGGGGACACCTGATGTAAGGGAGCACTGTGGGACACCTGATGTAAGGGGGCACTCTGATGGGGGCACCTGATGGGGACACCATATGCAAAGAAGGACTCTGAAAGGGATACATGATGTAAGGGGGTACTCTGTTGGGTGCACTTGATGTAAGTGGGCAATCCAAAGGAGATTCCTGATGTACTGTGATGGGGACATCTGATGTAAGGGGGCACTCTGTACAATAAATATTGAAATGCTGTGGAAATCGAAGATTTCGTATTATTTGATCAACATAAAATTACTCCATATATACCAGAATCTGAATCATAGCACCTCCTTTCATTTTAATTCAATCCCCCCCCCCCACTCTACACCCTCAGTAAATCACCCCATTACATTTTTTACTAACACAATTGAAACTTAACATTTTTTTTGCTCTTATCATTCCTGATCTCTTCTTTGCCCATTTCGGTTAGATTTGTTGCCTTTTTCTCACTGTATCCCGCGCTCTCAGGCCATCATGAGTGTCCGCAGGGGGAGGGAATTAGCCACAGTGAAAGGGAATTCGGAATATTGGCAACTTGAGTGAAATGAATGAAGACAGATGAGCGTTGGGGGTCACAGGTCAGATCTCAGATGTATGTACAATCCTCTGCGAGTTTCTGTGTTTGTTTGGCCCGGCCGGTATAAATCATCGCCTGTTTACAGTTTGTGCTTCTTTCTGGTTTGAATTGCTACATATTATAAATAACAGGAATAATTGTGTCCTCTTTGTTTCCACAGCCATCTGTTGGAGGCCTTTAGTTCTTCACCCCCCAACGTCGGCCCTTTCTGATTGGCTAATCCGTCTACTTTGTAACTTCTTCTAGAAGAGTCTTCCCAGTACCCACTGCAAAAGTAACATTGTAGAATTAGCATTATTATTTATTTCAGGTACTTATATAGCGCCGTTAATTGACGCAGCACTTTACATATACATGAGTCCCTAACAATCTACGGTCCCTAACTCACATTCATACATACACATACTAGGGACAATGAAGACAGGAGCTAATTCACCTACCAGCATGTCTGTGGAGTGTGGGAAGAAACCGGAGTACCCGGAGGAAACACGCAGGCACAGGGAGAACATGCAAACTCCAGGCAGGTGGTGCCATGGTTGGGATTTGAACCAATGACCCGAGTACTACCAGGTGGAAGTGCTAACCATGTAGCCACTGCATTAGAGAAGTGTCCATTGTAGAAGTAATATTGTAGAGGTAATATTGTAGATGCTGATATTGTAGAAGAGTCTTCCCAGTATCCACTGTAAAAGGAACATTGTAGAATTAACATTGAAGAAGGTAACATTGTAGAAGTAATATTGTAGAGGCAACATAGAGGTAACATTGTAGAGGTAACATTGTAGAGGTAACATTGTAGAGGTAACATTGTAGTAACATTGTAAGGTAACATTGTAGAGGTAACATTGTAGAGGTAACATTGTAGAGGTAACATTGTAGAGGTAACATTGTAGAGGGTAACATTGTAGAGGTAACATTTGTAACATTGTAAGGTAATATTGTAGAGGTAACATTGTAGGTAAGTAAAGTAACATTGTAGAGAAGTAACATTGTATGTAACATTGTAGAGGTAACATTGTAGAGTAAGTAATAATTGTAGAGATTGTAGAGGTAATATTGTAGAGGTAACATTGTAACATTGTAGAGGTAACATTGTAGAAGTAACATTGTAGAGGTAACATTGTAGAGGTAACATTTGTATTGTAGAGGTAACATTGTAGAGGTAACAACATTGTAGAGGTAACATTGTAGAGGTAACATTGTGTAACATTGTAGAGGTAAAGTAGGTAACATTGTAGTAACATTGTAGAGTAACATTGTAGAGGTAACATTGTAGAGGTAACATTGTAGAGGTAACATTGTAGTAACATTGTAGAGTAACATTGTAGAGGTAACATTGTAGAAGTAACATTGTAGAGGTAACATTGTAGAGGTAACAAGTAACATTGTGTAACATTGTAGTAGAGGTAACATTGTAGAGGTAACATTGTGGAGGTAAGTAACATTGTAGAGGTAACATTGTAGAGGTAATATTGTAGAGGTAACATTGTAGAGGTAACATTGTAGAGGTAACATTGTAGAGGTAACATTGTAGAGGTAACATTGTAGAGGTAACATTGTAGAGGTAACATTGTAGAGGTAACATTGTAGAAGTAACATTGTAGAGGTAACATTGTAGAAGTAACATTGTGGAGGTAACATTGTAGAGGTAACATTGTAGAGTTAACATTGTAGAGGTAACATTGTAGAGGTAACATTGTAGAGGTAACAACATTGTAGGTTACATTGTAGAGGTAACATTGTAGAGGTAACATTGTAGAAGTAACATTGTAGAAGTAACATTGTAGAAGAGGTAACACATTGTAGAGGTAACATTGTAGAGGTAACATTGTAGAGGTAACATTGTAGAAGTAATATTGTAGTAGAAGTAACATTTGATAAAAATTGTAGAGGTAACATTCTTAACATTAGTAACAGTAGAAGACTATTAGGTAAACGATTGTAGACTAACATCCCATCTTATTAGACGCGATGACTATAATCCCATCTTTGTACCCGGAGACCCTTCTTTCTATATCACTGACCGCAGGTTACCTGTGTGGGTCATGTTTCGGGGTGGGGGGGGGGGGGTTTTGCGGGGGGTACATGACTCTCTGGCCTTTCAATTGTCTCCTCTTCCAGGACTACTCATCTTCTGTAAATAATTGACTTACTTTTCTCTTTTTCTTCAATAAAGATGGGAATTTACAGATGCTGTAAAGTTTGGCGGGGGGGCGGAGGGGGGGGGGGGGGGGGGTGGGGGGGGGGGGGGGGGGGGTTCATGTCTTTCTGGGAAATGGACAAAACTTTTGATGAACTTCTTGCATCCTTCCTACTACAAACAGACGTAGGCACCGGTGCTGGGCCGTTATTTTATGGTTTGGTCACAAAGTGTGGTGGCAGGGGGCCTGCGGCTGGAAAAATTGAGTCGGGAGGTACTTCATCTTGTCATGTCGTACTGCTGTCTGCAGCAATGAGATCAGCAACAAGCGAATCGCGGCGGCTCATTAATATACTGTTTTATTTTTTTTTTATTGTTTATTATTATTGTTGATATTGTTTATCTGTTTATTATTATTATTATTACTATTTATTTATGTTCAATTATTACTTTTTATCTGTTATGAATAATAATAAAAAATAATAATATTAATAATAGTAATACCCAATAATAATAATAATAATTATAAACAACTGATAAATAATAATAATAATTATAATATTATTATTATTATTACTTTTTATTTATATGTTTGATATTATTATTATTATTATTATTGGTATTACTATTATTATTATTATTACTTATTTATAGTAATAATAATAATAATAATTATTATTATTATTTATCAGTTGTTTATAATTATTATTATTGCAATGCTCCCTCCTGCCTGTGGCAGAATGATGACGTCACCTCTTTAGGAGGAGCCGACAGCACGTGTGATGTCATATACCGCCGTGACCACGAGGAGGTCCTGCGGCCATTCTACTTCAGGGGTCAGTACACCATCCATTCATTTGTTACACAGCTGTACTTGTACCCACTATACAAATTTTTTTGGAATAAAGTTTACCTACTACACTATGGGCACTCCCTCTTTGTTTTTTTTTATCCTCTCTCAGATCCACAGCAGCACCTGCATCCAGAGGATATATCCATCCATCCATCCATCCATCCAGGCTGTTCATCCGGCATTATGGGGACCTCTGAACCTTGCTGCACATCACTTCACCCAAGTTAGATGATCCATATCATAGAGGGGGCCCTGTTATCCATCCGGTGTCATCCACCTTTATTGGGGATCATTCCTAATGCGCGGTTGGTGAGTGCGCATTTCTGCTATTTTTATCCGCTATATGTATCACAAGCAGAGGATTTTTTCTGGTGCTGCACATCAGAACATTGTTTGAACTTTGCACCTTTCACCTGTTGATCCAATATCAGGGGCGGACTGACCATTTGGAAACTCGGGCACTGCCCGAGGGCCCGGGGTCAGTAGGGAACCCCATGAGATGCCCCTGGTACCTTTTTCATAGGCTTTTTCAAGTTTGGGCAAGGACACAGGGGCCCCATGATCCCCTATTGCCGGGGGCCCCATGAGTTGTCAGTCAGCCCCTGTCCAATATTGATGCTGATCTTTTGATATATCTTATCTATTTTCATATTTGCCAATTTTATCACTATTTATAGCGCTGCACTCCATTTATTTAGCATGATGACGTCATCTCGGCCTAGGCAAAGTCACTGACCAGAGCAAAAGGGAAATCCTCCCCAGACAGAAATAAATACCTACCGGAGGATCGAACCCTTACCCACTCCCGCCAAAACAAAAGGAGATGTTTCAGTTGGAGTTCCACTTTGAACGTCTGTACCAAGTGGATTTCTGCTGTTTCCTCCTTCAATATGTTGCATCATGTGATTCCATCCTCTGCATTCCTCTGTGTATATGTGATCCGCAGCAGATGTTGATATCTCCGTATTGCGCACGCCGTGGTATGTATACAAATAACAAGAATCTTCCGATACATTATTGTCGTTTACATTAGTAGTTTTTTTTTTTTTTTTTTTTTTTTATTTATGCAAACATGACCTCTCATAGAAGCCTGAAACATGTTCATGAAACGTCAAAGTCATTTAAAATATTATTAAAACTGCATCTTATTTAAAAGAATCCCTGGTGATCCTGCCATGGAGGTCCTTGTTCAAGCACTTCCTGTTATATAGGGTGACAACGTTCTGTCCCTGTCCCCTGACTGCGCTCCTGCGTTGTCACCTTGTCACATGCCCCCCCCAGTGGAGATTATTAACAGCCATGCTGGCGTGGATTGTCCGCCGTTGTCACTATCAGAAAGCCGGACCAGAGCAATGATGTGAAGACAGACAGGAAGCGGGGAAAGGGGTCAAAGGAGATTTGCAGCAGCACTGAGAGGGGAAAATGATGAAAGAAAAGATGAAAATGGGATTAAAAAAAAAAAAGTGATACATAGTGCTCAGAGCACACTAAATATCCTACTGGGGTTTACATCTCTTGAAATAGGTTTACATTATACTTGTGATTTAA